ATTATAAACCTGCTCTTAAAATACTGATAATGCTAGACAATGGACAATGTGACGGACATCAAATAAGGCAAGGTGAGAAGTGCTCCATCCAAAAAAGCAAAAAGTATGTGCAAAAGAGAAAAAATGAAAGGCAGTTACTCATCTCATTTCCCAGCACAGTACTAGCTATTCACTTCAATCATCTGTAGAATGAGATCTGGTTACCTGTCCCAAGGCCTGTAGATGGAACATATGAGGAAGAGGAAAAACAACCTCACCTTGTCTTCAGACACTGTTTCAGCGTTGGCTTCGTCCAGGATGATCTCCATTATGCTGAGGACCTGCTCTGCAATGGAGGCTCCTCCACTGTCTTTACTCTCCTGCTCAGCCACCAAAGCCTGCAACAATTATACACATCAGCACAAGCATCTACTGATGATGTAGATGACATCATGGTGGTGAGCCCACCCCCCTTCAAGACTTTGAAGAAAACTAAGAAATATCTAAATCAAAAATCAGTTCATAAAATGGAACTAACCTCCCGAAGTACACTACAAAAAAAAATAGTGTAGTACTCTTACTCCTTTAGTACACATTTTCAGTTCACACATACTGTACCTGCATGCCATTTATATAACCCCTACATATAAACCATGGCAATCACAAGGAAGCACTGCAGCACAGATCCTAGTGCATCAGCACAAAGATAAGATTAGATGCCCTAAGCAACCATTTTCAATTGTTACAATAGGGTTAGATTGCTTCCACAAGCCATCCGAAGTATTCAGTCCAAAGCACTACTGCATTCTCCCTTGCGTGTGTAATATAGTTTCAGCAATAACTTAAGCTTTCTGGTGGTTGGACGAGCAGTAGCACACTCAACCAGTGCCTCTGCAGTATGTTGTGCAGTGGGCAGGTTGTTACCGAACTGGACCAGTGGGAGCAGGGTGGAGAGTGTCAGTCTCACCAGGTTCAGCGTGCCCAGCATGACGTTCAGAGTGTTCATCTCTGGCTTGACCAGCTGCTGTCGGTTGATCTTCACTTTCACACAGAAACTGAACAGCTTCAGCAAGACCTGGGGGGGGAGAGAGCTTAGAGCATATTCCTGGGGTGCAGCCTTTCAGAAAGATGCGCCTGCTTTCTTAAAATGAGGCATCAAACCAAACAATTGCTGAAAACTGATAGTTTATATTAAAATCTTTTTCTAAATTTCTTTTAACTGCAGATCACTGTTGTCTGGGCAATGCCATGATGGGTCACCAGTGTTATACTAGCTACTCGAGATGACAAACTTCCATGTGGCTATGGGAATGACTGCACATTTGTAAATTTCATCTTCTACATGAAGATAAAGTGCAACCACCAGTCGCCATAGAATGACCATTTATTTAAATGTAATTACAATAATATTGGAAACGGGCAAGTATAATACATTTAAAAAAAAGTCTACAGAGTTAAGCATTAGGGCTTAAGGAACCAGTACATAGTGCACTGAATCAGATTCCTAACAATGACATTGGAATGGGGGTGAGTTCCCCATCTACAGCACACACACTCACGGTGAGCAGGTGTCTCCCTTGCTTGAAATCCTTGATCCCTGCCAGTCTGTTGAGCATGCACTCCAGACCTCCACACTGTGCCATCACTCCTGCCATCTTATACACTTCCTCCTCATCCTCCTCTTCATCTGCAAAGCAGCAACAGGACAGCCATTAGTGCACTCGGGTCACAGAGTCTAGCATCACAGCTACAGACAAAACTGTCACAACAAACTAGAATTGAAAGGAGAAGCACATTTAATAAGACGGTAGTAAGCTCTGTAAACTCACCATTCTAGAACCTTTATTATTATT